GCAAAGCAGCAGTGACAGTGGCTAAATCTTCTCGTGGGTCACTCAGTACCTGATCAGGAATCAGAAGACATGAGTTATATGGTTATATGGTCTCTATGGTTAATTAATAATTTTTCTGTTCCTAGGCAAATAATTTCCTAGTTTTCTTGGTTTCCTTATATTTAAGTGGTTTGAAATATATGGTTGCCATAATAAAATATTTTTAAAACTATAACGTGAAAATATGAGATCTCATTTTTATAGTACTAAAGATACCTTTGAACTAAAATTCTTCATGAATTTTCCTCCAACTCACAAAAGTTGAGAGTGGAGGGAACAGGCAAGGTGAGTGATGTAAGGGAACATGTTTTTATACTGTTATAAAGTAGTACATGAGAAATATGAAATACTGGGATATAATCAGAAAAATTAGCAAATTCTGACTTGATTTTATTTAATGTAATAATTCAAATTATTAACAAATAATTTGTGTGTAATTTGAGTAGTGTCTAAATTATATATGACCTCAGTTACTATGCATAAGCTTTCTTCCACCAGCCTTTTTCTCTTTTGTTGAGGTTTTGTTGGAACTATGCAAGAATTAAGAAGGAAAAGAGATTTTTTTTCCCCAGTCCTCTTTGTGGAGTAACTGGTATCTATGCCAGTTATATTTGTGGAAGGATGAAGTAAAAAAGCCTTGAAATGACTAGCCTGGCTTTGATCCTACTATTTTCACCAATCTTCCCTTTAGCTGGGGCCACTTTATTTAAGTTTCACTATGTCCAGGTTCTCAGACCAAGTGGTTTCTTTTTTCTTTTTTTAAAAAATATTTTATTTATTTATTTGACAGACAGAGATCACAAGTAGGCAGAGAGGCAGGCAGAGAGAGAGGAGGAAGCAGGCTCTCTGCTGAGCAGAGAGCCCAATGCGGGCCTCAATCCCAGGACCCTTGGATCATGACCCAAGCTAAAGGCAGAGGCTTTAACCCACAGAGCCACCCAGGCATCCCAAAGTGGTTTCTATTTAGGCCAAACTTAAGAAGCTCCAGGCCAGCAGCTTAGTAGCCCAGCCTTGTCAGTCTAACAGTTTGTTTCCCTGTTCTGGACCCAACACTGAAGTCCTGCCTCATTTAATCATACCCGAGTCTCTATTTCTGAACTGTCCCTGTCCTATTGTCCTTTGGAGCAACAGTCTTGCTTTTTCCTTAACTAAACTCCTGAAGGGCCGAACTTTCTCCCTGTGTTCCACACGCTGTACCTGGATGCTGACACCTGCTGACATATTTTCCTGTGATGCAGGGCTTTTAAGTAAGTCTGGACCTTACCATTGCCTACTGTACCACATCTCACCCCCCTGTCCAATAGCTGCTGACTTTTCAATAACTGAATGAATGTCTCTATGCTTACTAGTCAGCATCTGTCAGGCCTCCGCTTATTGCTTGCTTCGGGTTCCCCTGACATCCTCTGCTCTCTGAGGATCCTGTTACCTGCTTCTGGGACCTTAGGAGGTAGCCTAACAATCAATAGATCCATACAATCTCTGGGTTTAGAGTTCCCTGGACTGACTGAGTCAAGCCAGTCTCTAAAGTGCCCCACGATAGGATACATTTTATTAAAGGTTTTCTTCTTCGTATGAAATTTCCTTCAAAGAAGATGATCTCTTTAGACTCTCATGTCTCATGTGGGAAAGGAACTCAGTGTTCCTAGGTATATGTTATATCTACAAATGCATGAAAGAGAGTATCAAGATCTTTGGAACAGAAATTAAGAAAATCCAGCACACTCCCCTGTCAAAATACAAAACAAAAAACAAACAAGAACTCCAAAAAGATTAAAAAAAAAAAAAGACCATCTAACTTTAAACAATGGAACATTTCATCAAAGACTTAATTACTCTAGAAGGTTATAATTTATAATGTCTCATGGACATTGGTCATAAACTTTGGTAGACCAGGAGATGACATGAGGAAACTGAGTTAATAATTCTTTGGTTACCAACCAAATTAATGCTCCCTTAACCCCAGTAAAAAGAAAGGAGGCAGAAGTATGAATTTGATGTCCCCCAAATTATTCAATGTTTAAGTGAACTTTAATGTACTAATTATGGTCTGCTCACCTGAATTAATCCTTTGATGTTAAATTGATTTTTTGAGATCATTTTTGAAAGGGTATGGTATTTTTACTTGCCACGGTAATACATTTGAAAGGGGCTTATTTTGGAGGTAAATGTAAGTGGAGTTATATGCCATATGAGAACCTGTGGAACTGTTTTGAATGACATGTGAAAGTATCACTCATAGAGAATTATTTGTTCCCAAGATTGGTGGGTTAAAAACAATCTAATCAGAATACAAAAGAATCAGGTAATTTCATTTCCATCATAGGCAAAATAATAAGAAAAATTCTTTATGGAAAAGGTACATAAATGCAGAATTTAGGACAGCTTTAATGAAATGAACCCATTAAGAAGTTTTTGACTGCCCCCTGCTGTCAGTTTCTTAAAAGAAATATAGCAAAATTACTGTAAAAATGGACTCGAGGAATTAGTTGAACACATTGGTAGGAAAAAAAATTCCCTGCCTTTAATTGCACTACTTTTTAGCCAGCTGTGCTAATGCTCACTTCATGTTTGTTAGCAATAAACTGCCAAACTAAGAGACCAACTCTAGCAAAGTGTGTCTTGGTGGATGTAAGGTGAGAGGTCAAGTTCATGGCTTGTGAAATGCTGTATTAATAAGAATATACCAGCATTGCAATTTTTAGCCAATGATGTCTAGTTTACTATTTTGCCAAATTTCACAATTTTGAATTTACTTTTTTAATACTTCCAGCTTTTTATTTTTTATTATTTTTATTTTTTTTAATTATTTTTATTAACATAATGTATTATTTACCCCAGGGGTACAGATCTGTGAATCATTAGGCATATACATTTCACAGCATTCACCATAGCACATACCCTCTTCAGTGTCCATAACCCAACCACCCTCTCCCTACCCCCTACAGTTTGTTTTGTGAGATTAAGAGCCTCTTATGGTTTGTCTCCCTCCTGATCCCATCTTGTTTCATTTTTTCCTTCCCTAACCGAAAACCCCCTGTCCTGCCTCTCAAATTCCTCATATCAGAGAGCTCATAAGATAATTCTTTCTCTGATTGACTTATTTCGCTCAGCGTAATAATACCCTCTAGTTCCATCCACATTGTCGCAAATGGCAAGATTTCATTTCTTTTGATGGCTGCATAGTATTCCATTGTATATCTATACCACATCTTCTTTATCCATTCATCTGTGATGGAAATCTAGGTTCTTTCCATAGTTTGGCTGTTATGGACATTGCTGCTATAAACATTCGGGTGCACATGCCCTTTCGGATCACTACATTTGTATCTTTAGGGTAAATACCCAGTAGTGTGATTGCTAGGTCATAGGGTAGCTCTATTTTCAACTTTTTGAGGAACCTCCATGCTGTTTTCCAGAGTGTCTGCACCAGCTTGCATTCCCACCAACAGTGTAGGAGTGTTCCCCTTTTTCCGCATCCTCGCCAACATCTGTTGTTTCCTGACTTGTTAATTTTAGCCATTCTGACTGGTGTGAGGTGGTATCTCATTGTGGTTTTAATTTGTATTTTCCTGATGTTGAGTGATGCTGAACTCTTTTTTATGTGTCTGTTAGCCATTTGGATGTCTTTGCAGAAATGTCTGTTCATGTCTTCTGTCCATTTCTTGATTAGATTATTTGTTTTTGGGGCGTTGAGTTTTATAAGTTTTTTATAGATTTTGGATACTAGCCCTTTATCTGATATGTCATTTTGAATTTACTTTTTAATATTTATTTAACCCAGGTAAAACATCCTTCATTAATGGAAAGCAAAAGTTTAAAAATAAATAAATGTATGGCTTATTTTTATAGTATAATCCAGCTTGCAATGTTATTTTCATTTTAGCATATAAAATTAAGAAATGAGAAATAATAAAAGTAATAGGTAATACTAATGCTGTAGTCACGAGCTGCAAGACACTGTTTTATTTTTTCACACATTATTTTAATCATCATAAAACTGAATGAGGGAAGTATTATTTTAATTCCCATTACACAGATGAAGAAACTAAGTCACAAAGAAACTTGCCTTGGTGACACAATTGGTAAAAGGTGGAGCCATGATTGGAAACCCTGCAGTCTGACTCCCAGGTCACTTCTCTTAACCTTTTTGCACAGAAAGTATGAAATCTGCAGTTAAGGAAGGAGAACTCTAGATATAAGAATGGTCTTGGTTGTGTAGTATGTATATTGACTCCAACTAATCACATGCTTACGTAATTGTTGTTATTATTATTATTATTATTTATTTATTTTTTTGCTATACCCATGCCGTAGTGGCCAGAGCCTTTGTATAAGCAACAGACCTATATTGTTTCAGTTTGTTTTATCTTTATTGTTTCATTTTGGTTTATCTTTATGTGTTTCCTTGGTTGCATCACATTGAAGGTGTGTGGGTGTGCTTTTTTCAGTGACTACGTGGCCACTTAGCTCAGCACTTAGATCAGAGTATATATTTGGGGGTTAATCTTGTGGTTGGCCTCTGTGCACCCATGCCTTTCAACTCTGTACTGCCAAACAATGTCCAGTTTTAACCACACTTTCAACCACCTTCAGCACCTCATATTCAAATGATGCACACATTTTCACAGTGTTTTGAATGAATCAGTTGCACATTTTAAGTTTCCTTGGATGCTATTAATTCCAGAGTCCTATTTAATAACCCATTTGTGTTCCTCTATCCCTGTCTGGTCCTTTGCCTTCCCCTTAGGAGCACATGGTTCATGATAACAGACACATCCCACCAGTGATAACTAGCACAACTAGTATTTGCAATTCTGGGATGCTTTTGCCTTGCAGATATTTGAAAACACCACTTCAGGCCCCAGAGGGCTAACTCTACAGGAAATCTCTTCTCATCCCATATTAGAGTAAAACCAAAAGTCAACACAAATCATTTGCTATTCATAACAAAAAGTTCTTACCTGACTCGAGGAGTTGGGTTTCCAGTGACTCTACACTCCAAGTAAACTCTACTTCCTTCTGCCACTTCTTGGCTCCGAAGCTTCTGGATGAACCGTGGAGCTGAGGGGAAGTGGAATGCATTCTGGGGCTGTGGGTGAGAGATGTTACTGCATGGCACTGCCTTGTCCTGGTCTGCCTGGTAGCAATGCTGGGCTTCGGGTAACTTGACCTCTGCTTCTGTCTCCTGTTGGTCTCCAGTGGGGCTCTGGCTGACTGAGGCACTCATCAGGGCTGACCGCTGATTTTTAGGAGACAAGTAGCCACTGTCTGGCGATGAGGACTCCCCGTTCGGGCTTCTATTTCTCGGCTTTGCAGCTTCTTTAAATATGGATGTCAGCTCCTCAATGAGATTAGCTGCCTTGTCGCATAGCTGGCTCTGCGGGCCAGTCTTACCTTGATATGCTGGTTTGGGCTTCACACTTGTGTTGGGAGTTTTTGCACCACGTTTTTCAGCCTTTCGGAGGCTCCGGATATAGCTGGGGCTGGCAAGCAGGGGTGATTTGGCAGGTTTCCTCTTTGAAGCAGGTGAAGAGATACGGTCAGTTTTTTCTGGTAGAGGTTGGACAGGTGTTGGCCTGTTATCACAAGGTCTTCCTAAGGAGGATGGCTCACCAAATTTGGTCTCCTTACGGGAAGGATTTTCACAGACACTTACAGGAGAGGTGTTGAAAATCTGTGAGATCTCCTTTTCTGAGTCAAAATCTTCCGTTTCAGAGCTGGCTATAGCTCTCCGGGCTAGGTCAAGACTCTTGTTTATCTCTTCCTGGCTGAGAAAAGCAGATAGCTCAGGGAAGAAGTCAGCATTCTTGCTTTCTTCCTGCATGTCTGATAGGGAATCATAGAACGAGTCATGGGAGGAAGTCTCTGACATAGTTCAATAGTCTTCATATACTTTTTGTTTGCTCTCAACAGGAAGGTCAGAGGCACTGGAAACCAATTTACTTCTTGTGTTCTGAAAGACAATGTAGAGAGAGTTGCCATTGGTAGTAATGGGTATGTGTTGTCACAGTATTATTAATTTACAGCTTGGGAGAAACATTAAAATGAACAAATGGAAAAATCATTTTTCTCTATTCTTCAAGTTGGAAGAAACACCAAGTATACTTGTGTTTATTATCTCATTTTAATTTAATATTTTCCCTGGGAGTGAATATTAAGTATTTTACTAATCAGCGCAGAATAATCCAAAAAGAAAATATCTGCATTAGGCACTAAGACTACAGTAGGACATTCTGCACTTCTCATGTGCCATTTTCCCTCAAGATCAAAGCTTATTGAAGCTCAAAATCCAGAAATGTGGGTGGGAGCTTGGAAGTTTATGAAGGTGAAAGGAGAGACCACATACTAGTGTTCTAGTAGTTGTGGTTCTCAGTGGGAAGCCAAATCTGTGGACTGGTAGTCAAAAGTTTGGAGTTTGTTTCTGGCAACAGCAAAAGAAGAAAAAAAAAGGCAAAGTCATGGCAAATATAACAAGTGTCAAAATAAACATTCATGCAAGATTTTATTTAACTACTTAATGAGGAAACTGGTAAGATGTATAACTATTTCAAAGCAGATTCTAAAGTAAATGAATATATATATGTAAGTATAATATATATGTACATATGTAGTTATGTAAGTATATACATAGACAATCAAGAATGCTAAAATGAATTTACTAATAAATTTGAAACTGGTTAGTATATAGAGAGCAATAAAATGTAATGTTTGGAGTCATTTCTATGGAGTACAAACTAACAGTATTTCTACTGGAAAAAATTTATTTGTGTATCTGTGCTCAAGTATAATTTGCATTGCTATTAGATTTCTACAATTTACAAAGGTATAACATTGCCTAATAAAAGACAGTAAAAGGCACAGACCACATTAGAATCAGATGACCCTGGAAGGTCTACCAGACCCCACCAGTATTCCATTGGAAAAACATCAGTTCTCTATTGCTTATTTCAAAGTCTTTCATAGTTTGTCCTGAGAAGGCAGATTGGTTTCTCCCAGAACAGAGCCCTTAATTACATTTGACCCTTCAGCCAGCAAACATGGTAGATGGTTTAGAAGTCAAGGTCAAGGTCAACTCTTAAAAAGTGTGAGGATATAAATCACCAGGCAGCATTAATTCAGAAGACATGAAAACTGGAAGAGAGAGATGCTTGGGCCAAAAGTATGTTTGCATACTGAAGGTAAAACAGACTGTATTTCCATTTCTTACAACATATATTTTTCTTTGGAAGAGAGGCTATTGGTCTGTTTGTTGTGGGCCTTAGAGAAATTAATTTTTTGCATTGAACTCAGTGTGAGAGGGAAATTGAGAAATATGCTTTATTTTATGAGATTGTATTTATTTTTTCAAGAGAGAAAGAGAGAGCAAGCAAGAGAGAACACACAAGTTGGGGGAGGTGGGGAGAAACAAAGGGAGAAGCAGACTCCCCAGTGAGCAGGGAGCCTGACATGGGGCTCGATTCCAGGACCCTGGGATCATGACCTGAGCCAAAGGCAGCCACTTAACCGACTGAGCCACCTCGGCTCCTGGGAAGTATAGTTTTAAGAAAAAGACGGGTTTCTGCCATCATGGAACTTAGTCTATGGGTGATATAAAAAGGAATAAGCATATATATAATTTAGTATGTTGAGTGCTATGGTAAGAAAACAAAGTGCTACGTTAGCACCTAGAAGGGATAACAGGGTTAGGATCAAGAAAAAATTTATGGAAGTTGAAGCCTATAGGATGATATGTGAAGGAGGAGGAAGAGTTAGGCAGGTAAAGAGGACACTGGCAGAAGCACAGACAAAGTTTTGGATCCTAAGGAGAGTATTGGCAGACTCAGGTAACTTAGAGAGGTTTAGTGAAACAGAAATGTATCTGGAGACAGGGAAAATCAGCAGAGAAAAAGTTAGAAAGCAGGAGTGGGGTCAGAGAGCCTGGAACTGTGTGAAGAACTTGAATTTTATCTTAGGTGCAGCTAGAGGACAAAGAAGACTGTTAAGTATGTGAGAAACATCACCAAAGTTGTGTTTTATTTTTTTGTTATTTAAGAAAGTTTTTATTTATTTATTTGAGAGAGAGAGAGAGCAAGAGAGTGAGAGAGTGAGCATGAGCAGGGGGAGGGGCAGAAGGAGAGGGACAAAGAGACTCCCTGCTGAGCTGGGGACTTGAGGCTTGATCCCAGGACCCTGAGATCATGACCTGAGCCAAAGGTAGATACTTAACCAACTGAGCCAGCCAGGTGCTCCAGAGTTGCATTTTAGAAAGATAACTGATTGTAGCCTAGCTCAGGAGCTGAGTCGGAGGAAGAGGAAGGCAAGATGAAAGAAGAAAGTCGGTGGGAGGCTTGTGTTCTATTCTTGGGGTTGTGTATATTTATCATTGCTTTATCTTTGGATCCCCATCATCTGAGCCTCCTTATTAGTTCTGGATAATTCTTCATGTTATGTGCCTCCATGAGAAACTAAACTTACTTATCATAATGAAATGTGGAATCTCCAAAGATTTGCTTTCCCAGCCCCTTGGAGCCTGGGCACAAGTCTTGGCACATGATAGTTATATGCATCCATCTTTGGCCTTTGAGGCAGGTTCCATGGAGAAAGCATTTTTGTTTCTGGTCGTAGCAAAGATGTAGCAGCATGGAGCATGAGGGGCAGCAGCGATGGCTGTGCAGAGGTGGGAGGTGGAAGCTGTGCCGTGGGCTATTGAGCTGTCACCGCAGTGGTGGTCACATATGACCCTTTTGTTGGCCTTTTGGTCTTGCCTCCAGCATACACTCTGGGCCTCAATCTGTGAATTGCTGTAACTCCTACCAATAATTCGCTTTGCACTCAAGTTGACCAAAGAATATTTCTGTCACTTGACACTAAGGAACACAACTGATAGTAGATTAAGAAAATATGACAGAAGCCTGAATAAGTGATATTGAGATGGACAACAGTGGACAACAGATAGAAGCTAGGACAGAAATCTTTAAGTAATCGAAGAGATGATGCAGAGACAGGATTATAGATTTGTTATTCAAACAGTGGGATGGAAGGTGCCATTAACTCACATGCCACAAGTGGGGGGACAAGTTTTGAGAAAAAAATCTTAATTTTGATTTACACCTTCCGCAACAGGGAACTCTGGTATTGATGTCTGAAGGCAATTTGAGATACTGGTCCAGAGTACATGAGTAAAGAGAACAAAACTTGATTGGGAATTATTAACCCATGGGTGGCAATGTAATACAAGATGGTGAATAAGATCATCAAGGAAGAGAGAGAGAAAAAAAGGAAACAATCCTCTAGAGGTTTGGGGGAAAACGAGGAGACTGGGGTGTTATGGAAGCTGGGCAAGGAAATGTCTCATGAAGGAGGAAGTATTCTTTTGATTTAGCAACTGGGAACATTTAGCACCATTACCAATAGCAATTTTGGTGTATGTGACAAAGATTGAAGCCAGATTCAAGATATGCTGAGAAATTATGAAAGGAAAGAAAATATAGATTGCACATGCTATTGACTATTTTGAGAAGTTTATAGAAAGGAGGAGAGACAGAGGTAGTTGGTGGACAAAAGTATAAATTTCTGGTGGGTTTATTTGTTTACAGTGTGGCTCAGGAATGTATTTCAGTGCCAATGGAATTAGACAGCAGAGAGGGAGAAGCAGAAGATCCATGTAAAAAAGTGAGGAAGATGAATAGACTGGGTCTTCCAGGATGTGAGATGAAATGAGTTACTATGGTACAAACAACTTCCGGTTGGAAAGGAACAGTTCTCCCATTGTCAAAGGAGAGAAATAATTAAAGTGTGTGTGCCTGTGTGTGTGTGTGTGTGTGTGTGAGAAAGAAGGGATAAGGGGGAATCTGCATAAATTTGTTATTGAAAGAAAGGGGAGGTCCTATCTTGAGATTTCTGAGGATTTGGAAGTTTTTGAGGACAGAAGACAATTTGAAATATCTGATGTAGAGAAAGGAAAAATTTCCTTAAGAAGGATTTATGGGCAGGGCCCCTGGGTGGCTTAGTTGGTTAAGCGCCTGCCTTCAGCTCAGATAATGATCTCAGGGTCCTGGAATAGAGCCCTGCATTGGACTTCTGCTCAGTGGGAATCTGTTTCACCCTCTCCCTCTGTCATGTCCTCCTTCCCAACTTGGGCATGCACGCTCTCCCTCTCTCTCAAATAAATAAATAAAATCTCAAAAAAAAAAAAATAGGAAAAAAAAGATTTGTGGGCAAAGGTGAGAACTTAGTTGAAGTTAAATGTGATGTATTTATAGTATCATTAATCAGTGTGATTGCACACTTCTCTTCACCAGAGCTCAGCCCTCCAGGTGAAGATGTGGAGATAAGATGTTTTAGGTTTTGACACACAGGTAAGATGGAAGGGAAATGGACAAGGTTTTTGAGAATATCAGCGATATGGGGGTTGGATTCTAAAATCTATGCTGGATTTGGATTCATGAGTAGGAGTTTGATTATAAAGAGCTTAAGGGACTGACGGCTCAATGAAATTAAAGGGGAGGTATAGTGGGAATGGCTGAATGAGAATCTGGAAGGATGTATCGAGATAGTGAAATGTTTGAATTGATCATTTCAGAGGCAGAGCCTTTTGATTCCTGACTACACTTAGAGTGTGGCCATGTGAATGTCTTTGACTGTCTCTGAAGAACAATGAGAGAGTTTAGTAGCTGCAACAGACACTTTATGATTGACAAAACCTAAAATATTTATCCAGACTTTTACAGGAAAAGTTTGATAGCTGTAGAACATCAGCTACCTAATAACTTCATCTAGCATGAGCACTACTAATAGTAATCCTGATAATGATAATGGTTAACAACATACTGCTCACTGAGGCAGGCATTGTGTCAAGTGCCATTAAGTTGGTGATTTCATTTAAACTTCTCACAACAGGCCCCAGTTTACAAAGAAGGAAACTGAGGCAGAAAATGTGAATAGAAGAGCCGAGATTCAAATCCAGACAACAAC